ACCCAGGCACACCCCCAGCCCTGCTAAGTATTGTTTAATACAATCACGAGATTCAGCAGAATTTCTTAGGATGATAAAACTTGAAGATGGATAAAGCAATGATTGCAAATTCACTTTTATACAAACTTTTTTTTTTTTTTTTAAATACCACCAAGTTTCCTGTTCACACTTGTTCTACCACTTGGAAATTGTTTACGGCTTGCCCATTTTGGTTTCTCTTGAGCACCCATGCCCTCTCAGTTGTGTGACTCTGCGTAACCCAAATGTCTGACTGGTGAAATGGAAACCCCACGGCAAGCCCTCCGTAAATCCACCCTGCTGTCCACACTTGACAAAGACGAAGACCACAGTCATGATCTGTGCTCTCGTGGAGACTCAACCTCCATCCTGCTCCTCAACAAAAAAACCACACTTCGAAATGTCCTACAACAGTCCAGGGGTGATGACATTCTGTGCCACTTTGCAGAGAGTTCCATATTCAAATCATCAGCTGATTTATCAAAATGATGTGCTCCATAGCCTGACAAAGGGCCTGACAGGCAGGTAGATATTACAGCTTTATATCTACCACAATAAAAGGCATTCTCATGAACAGTTGTAGAATGACTAAGAAATTGTACCAACGACTGTTGTCTTTTTTCTTGCTTCGAGGAAAGGGGCTTACGGATAAGGTCATCTTGTGTTGGTTTCTTTTTGACTATGAATTTTGTCCATTGCCAGAATGCATTATAAATAATGTATTGGAGTCTATCCTTTCTTTTAAAAAAGCTTTTATTTACTCATTTTTAGAGAGCGAGTGAGGGGGGTAGGGGCAGAGGGACAGAGGAAGGGAGAGAAAGAGAGAGAGAGGGAAACAGACTTCCTGCTGAGCATGGAGCCCAGTGCAGGGGATCGATCTCACAACCCTGACATCATGACCTGAGCCGAAAGCAAGAGTCAAGACGCTCAACCAACTGAGCCACCCAGGGACCCCGGAGTCTGTCCCTTTTAATGGAGTTTTGAACTTGTGATAAAAATTTAAATAATCTTCACCATGAAGCCTGAACTTTCTTCCTTATTAGACTATAGTTCAGAAAAATAGTTCCAGCAAAGCCAAAAGTTTGCTGATTCTAGAATCAACATTTTTCTCAACAATGTCAATATTTACACTTCTGGGTCCAGCAGCTGAACTTCAACAGTGCCTTTGTTCTTTCTGTCTCATGTTTATTTGTTTTTCCATTTTAAGGGAAATTTCTACTAAATTAAAGTGATACAACTATCTTAAAATTTTAAAACGTTGCATCAAATAATGCTTTTTGGGCGTTCCTGAGACTCTAAAGACTGGCACGCATATGCCTTTCACATCACAACCAACTACAAATTATGCTTGTGGCGGATTTCAACTGTCCAGCGTCCCCCCACCAATCAGGATGACTCTATATGCTAGAAAAATCGACTACGGTGCCAACAGGTGCGCTGAAGGACCCTCGCATCTCATGACACGCCCAACGCATCACACTTGGCAATGTGCTCAGGATCCATGCAATCCACTCTGATGCTTCCTCTTCCGATCTGTTTTCCCTACTGAACACTCCGTGCGTGACCTACTAACCTGATGCTTGGCTCGACGATGGGATGCAACCCACGATCTGAAAACAGGGTCAGGTTCGGGTTTGTACTTAGTGCCCGCAAGCTCACGGGCTTTCCTTGCACAGGTATGCAGGATGGAGACTGCTGCCCACTGGATCAGCCACTCTGTCCCCACCTCCCCCCACCCACACCCCTTTACTTCCTGGCTTAGGGCAGCAGTCCACTTCAGCCATTCCCTGGCTAACACCCGAGCTCCCACGTGTGTCACCTCCTCTGACCTACTCTTAGAAAAACACAACTCGGGCACCTGAGTGGCTCAGTTGGTTAATCATCTGCCTTCGGCTCAGGTCATGATCCCGGAGTCCTGGGATCGAGTCCCACATCGGGCTCCCAGCTCGGCGGAGAGCCTGCTTCTCCCTCTGACCCTATCCCCTCTCATGCTGTTTCTCTCTCTCTCTCTCTCAAGTAAATAAATAAAATTTAAAAAAAAAGGAAAAAGAAAAACACAACTCTTAGAAAAACACAACTCCTCTGCTTAACACAACTAGCCATCTCCGCATCCCTGAAGTCACTGACCGTGCAAGATGGACTCTTCCCATTTCTACTCAGCCACAAATCCAAATTGTGCATTTATACCGCTGGGAAAATCTAGTATGTGTCCTTAGAGAATTTACTATGTCCTCTCTGGCATGTCCGCTTCCGACTTTCCCCTCAGTGCCCGCTCTTGGGATATTCGGATGACACCCAGCACAGGCACTGAACGGCTATTCGCCCCGCCACCCTGCTCCAGGGTCATGGCCAGCACCTGACATCAATCCTATCACACTTGTAGTTGGTAAATGCCTTCTTGTTCAAGAACTTGTTAGTTGGAATATGCCCTGCTGTACCCAGGACAGCACACAGTGGGGACTCCAGAAGGTCTGCATGCTAACGGGACTAACTACCTTCATTGTTGGTGGACAGGCTAACTAATAACACTTAATTTAAAAATAAAATCAGGGCGCCTGGGTGGCTCAGTCGTTAAGCGTCTGCCTTTGGCTCAGGTCATGATCCCAGGGTCCTGGGATCGAGCCCCGCATCGGGCTCCCTGCTTGGCGGGAAGCCTGCTTCTCCCTCTCCCACTCCCCCTGCTTGTGTTCCTGCTCTCGCTGTCTCTCTCTGTCAAAAAAATAAATAATACCTTTAAAAATAAATAAATAAATAAATAAAAATAAAATCAAAAAGAGAAGCTGCAAGTCTTCTATCACTGTAGGACTTTTTACAAAGAAAGCTATCCCTTCCGTAAAAGCCAGGGACCCTGCTATTTACCAGGAACAATGTAATTGACCCACATTCATGACATATTAAGATAGTCACTTGTGGAGCTGAAAACAGAATATTCGCATTCTAAATCATAATCAATGCATAAAAAGAAACTCATAATACTTCAAACATCAAAGGGAAAATAGAAACCAGGCGATGAAGACAGCATTCAAAAAAGAAACAATTTATTCCAAAAACAGACGACGTGTAGCAAAAAGTGTCAACTATCTGATGCGCTTTTCAAAATAACATTCAAAACTATTCCAATATTAAGAAAAAAATTACTCAAAGCACACTGAAATAGAAATGCTTTAAAAAGAGAGCCAGGAAGGGAGGGACAGAGATGGAGTGGGTAGAGACACAAGAACAGAACAAAAGTCAAGCGTGGTGACAAGCTCGGGAACGGGGCCAGCGAAGCGTAGGGCCACGTAAGATGCTCGTGAACTGCGAACAGCAGAGCACACGGCCCACAGTGTGGTTAGCAAGCGCCAACAGTACTCACCCTCCAGCCTCCAAACAACACAGCATCTGCATGCAGGGGGCTTACAGTAAGTGGACGAACGCTACACTTCGACAAGAAACTCACACTGCAAACAAGAACTCCACGTACAAAAGGAAAGCAAAGGAATACCGTATGTTTTAATCATACGGTAATTTTACAGAAGTTAATAAAGAAATAAATTTGGAGACGTCAGTAGAATTAGAACTTTTATTATAAATAAATACCAAAATCAAAATAATCTTTAAAAAATGCCCTTATATGGACACCTGGGTGGCTCAGTTGGTTAAGCGTCTGCTTTCGGCTCAGGTCGTGATCCCGGGGTCCTGGGATCAGGCCCCACATCGGGCTCCTGGTTCAGTGAGGAGCCTGCTTCTCCCTCTCCCTCTGCCCCTCCTCCCTGCTCACAACCTCCCTCTCTAAAATAAATAAATAAAATCATTTAAAAAAATAAATAAAATAAAAAAACACCCTTCTGATAGAAAACACTGCAGATAAAATAGACTGAAACCCACAGCCCTACCACCTTTGCCCCTACATGTAAAGAAAGCAATGGACTTGGATGTTCTTACTATTGATTATTTCCATTTGTCAAGACAAAAAAAAAAAAAGATGATTCGTGAGGTAGGGATGTGTGTGTATGTGTGCAAATACACGCACGCACGCACACGCCCTCACACGAGGATCATCCCCACTGTTGACAAGAGTAACATGAAGTGCAGTGGTCAAGGTCCTGGGGCCAGTAATGGGAAAGAGACAGAGGTGACCGAGGACGGGATGAAGCTCAGTCCAAAAATCCACGCTCTTAACCAGAACCCATAGTCCCGTGGTTTTCAAATTAGGGTCCCCGGACAGACGGCATGAGCACCACCTGGGAACCTGGGCACACACACATGCTCCAGCCCGGAATGTGGGGCCCTTGTGTCCGGGGCCTGGAACCAACCACGGGGCACCTTGGGTGCCCGGGCTGCACCCCAGATCGGCAAAAATAAAATCTTGGGGATGCGGGCATTGTTTCAAGCTCCCCGTGTTCGCAAAGTTGAGAACCACTGCTCTTGTCTCTTTTCCTTACATGGTTAACCCTTTTTTATGATGTTTGCGAGGGGGGAAAAATCGAGAGAAAATTGCAATATAGCTTTGAAGAGTCACATTCTGGAAGCTGGGGAGGGAAACCTACCACAACTGAAGTAAACAATATAATCAGTTCCTCAAAAGGCCACACCTGAATCCTAAGGGCCAGATTCCCACAGGGAAGCTGCACCTGGTACGTTTTCTGCCTTTTAAAAATCTTTTACTTTTTCCTATGCAGATAGAATCCCTTCTAGAACACGGCAGTGGGGGGAGGAGGGGAGGCAGACCAAAGTGCTATACTCAACGGCAGAGACTGACCTGCAGCAGAGAATGACCTCATCACCTCAAACTTCAGGGTTTCAGGTCCAAGGGTCTGGATTTGACCCTATGTAGGAGAATGACCTTTGACCTTACACTCTGTCTTTGGTAAGAGGCCTGTTTGGAATATTCTATTCAAGTATCCACAGTACCTGACACCTAAGTGCTTTGGTCAGCCTGCTGACAGAAAACCAGCGAAATTTTGAAATGAAACTTGGTGATGGCCACGCTCCTCACTTACGTTACTTGCGTGGAGCATTGCGTCCTCAAACGATCCATGTGGAGACACGGTAATTATTCCCACTAGACAGGCCAGGAGGCTGAGCAGAAGCTGCTTGCTCGGGTCACCCACGCCGGCCAAGTGTGCGGTCAGCCCTGGAGCTCTGCTCTGCCCAAATCCAAATCCCAAGTCCTGAGCTCGGATGCGGGGTCCCCGGGGAACAGGATCTGGTCCGCGCGAGGTCAGAGAGGCCAAGGCTGGACGTTGATCTTCAATTTCCAGCTGCCTCAGCCCGTGGGCACTGGGGTCTGAGAGACGGGCCTCCACCTCGGCTGGGGTTAATACGCACGTGTGCAGTGATGTGCTAAGCGCCGGACAGGATTGCTACCCCAGTTCCCGAAGGCTCCTGTAAGGAACGACCCAACAGACTGTAGGCACCCAGCACTGGAGGAAGTCAAGAAACAACAGAGCGAGAGAAGAGCAAGGGTATCCACAGAGAACAGCCGGGACTACACACGGGCAGAGGGGCCTCACGACCTCCCTCATGAACGCATTACCAGGGCAAAACCACACTGGCCTCGGGTCATGAAAACAGAGGCAAAGGCGGTCCGTGAGGATGCTGCACCCCACCATTCCATGCCCACCTTCCCAGAAGGGATGGCCTTCCCAGGCCGCCATGATGGCTGAACACGTGCAGCTGACAAGAGGAAGCCCACATTGGTGCAGAGCCCCAGACAATTCGGAAACCCGTGAGGGGACCGTCCCCACTTCACAGAAGAGGACACGGGCTTTAAGATGAGGATGACCTGGCCAGGGCCGCTCAGGGGTTTGCAGGACCCTGCAGACAGGGACCACCCGTGGAATGCACACGGGTAGCCGGCTCAGGAGTCGGAGAAAAGGAAGGATCGGAAGCTCTTGCAGAGAAGGGCATCCTACCTTGTGTGACCAGGGGACACCGGGGGAGAAGGAAAAGCATTATAATGTTAAATTTAGAATGTGGATTATTTACACACAGGCCTAAAATCAGGGTCCTCTTAAAAAAAACTCACTTTCCCTGACACACACACACACACCCTTTAACTCATTAACATTTTGTTTTCACTACTGATGTCATTACTTAGGATAAACCTTGACAGTTGAGATGTATGAATTATTACAAATTACTGAACACCTGTGGGTGCCTTCTAAGGGACAGCTCTTTGCACATCCAAACATAAAAGGAGAACAAAAATGAAGAGACTGAATCACTTAAGTGAAAAAGGTTAAGATGGGGGCGCCTGGGTGGCTCAGTCAGTTGAGCGTCTACCTTTGGCTCAGGTCATGATCCCTCAGTCCTGGGATCAAGCCCCACATAGGGCTCCTTGCTCAGCAGGGAGTCTGCTTCTCCCTCTGCCCCTACCCCCGCTTGTGTTCGCTCACTCTCTCTCTCAAATAAATAAATAAAATCTTAAAAAAAAAAAGAGAGAAAGGTTAAGATGACCATGATGCCACCCACAAGGCCCACCACGTCCCGGACCTACTGCCCTAGCAGCCCGCCCTTCACCGACGACCGAGTGGCGTTAACACCGCTGAAATCCCTCGAGTTTGTCTTTGCTGGCTGCGAAACCGGTTCTCTAACCATTGGGAAAGTGATTCAAACTTTATCAGAAAAATTAAGGAAGGTCTGTAAAACCAGGCTTGGATTTAAGCACTTTGTACAATATACACAAACAAACCCAAGTCTTTCGGATCAGCACCTCAAAGTACAGCGCCTGTCCGTACAATGAAACTCACATCACTGACGGGGGACGTTCCGCTAAAGAAAGCTTGAGAATTTGCAGCCCGAGACCTCTGGGGAAAACATGAATAAGGAGGGTGGGCGGCATCAGATCCTCCTAATCTCATTCTGTCCGGGACTCCTGCGAAAGGCCTACAGCTTCCTCCCTTCCCAATCAGCCCCCAAGTCCAGTGCTAGAGCTGCAAGAACCCCGGTCTCTGGGGCTTTGGAGAAGGGGGTGTGGGGTCCCCGGCCCCCAGGTGCCCCCCAGGAGTAACCCAGCTAGAGTGCAAGAACCCCAGTCTCTGGGGCTTTGGAGAAGGGGTGTGGGGTCCCCAACCCCCAGGAGCCCCCCAGGAGAAACCTAGCTAGAGTGCAAGAACCCCAGTCTCTGGGGCTTTGGAGAAGGGGTGTGGGGTCCCCAACCCCCAGGAGCCCCCCAGGAGAAACCTAGCTAGAGTGCAAGAACCCCAGTCTCTGGGGCTTTGGAGAAGGGGTGTGGGGTCCCCAACCCCCAGGAGCCCCCCAGGAGAAACCCAGCTAGACTGCACAGAGGCTGCTTCCCTGCAGAGTCCTTCTTAACTGCAAACCACTGGTGAGTGACAACCAGGACACTTGGGGGGCCTGGGGGGGAGAGACTTATTTTTCATGGAAAGTCCTCTGGAGCTGTTAAGTTTCATGCCAAGCGCAGGAATTACGTATCCAAACAACAAGTGAATATGATCACTGGGTTTTAAATCTTGAAAGCATTAAGGCTGCACTGCCTTCCAGAGCTTTCCCGGGATCGTTGGTGAATTCAGCAGAGTAAACCAGTTTCTTGGGCTCTCACGGCACCAGACGCGTATGGACTACAGGTCAGGGGAGCGAGCCTTGCTTCTGCTCACTCTACGTGGCAAAGCTCAAATCCTGCAGCGCGTGTCAGAGAAGGGTCGGGGATCTAATGCCATCCCTCACACGGCTGGGGAAGTGAGTCGTGCATCCCGGTTTAGAGGTTTCTGACAGCTCTAATCAGCATAAATGTCGGCTCTGTTCTTCAATTTCACAGCTATGGCAAGTGGGCAATTCTGCAGCGCAGTCCCACTCACACCCGCTGCCTCGCCGTCCACCACCTTGATTACCGGGGACAGATAACTACTCTTATTTCTAAGGCTGTTGATTCAGTGTGTCACCCATTCACACCTCACAAAAAGCCCTGACCCGCGAAGCCCTCAGCTCTTGCTGTGGAGAGGCCGTCTTGGCCAGAGATGCTCTGGATGCGCTCTTAGTCACCGCTCTGCCCCGGAGACCCTAACGCCAAATACCTATTTCTGAGCTGCATTAGCACGCAGAGTGCGCGCCCCCATGCCAACCCGCCAGACCCAGGACAAGTTGCCTGGGAAACCTACCCCCACACACGAAGTTCTACCCTCCCGGAGGGAATGGCTCGGCATCCGTCCACCAGAGAAGACGTGTGTGTGTGTGTATATATATATATATACACACACACATACACAGGTACCTCCAACAGTGATCATCAGACCGGGGAGCTGGCAAGAGGAGATGATCCACAGGGCCACCGCATGTCCCTCCACCAAGGCCGGGGCTGGGTCGGTTAGGTTTGCACAAGCATCAGATCTGGATCTCTTATTTTTTATTTATTTACTTATTTATTTTATTACGCTCCACATCCAGCATGGAGCCCGACGCGGGGCTCGATCCCACGACCCCGAGATCAAGACCTGAGCTGAGATCAAGAGTCAGATGCGCCACTGACTGAGCCCCCCAGGCTCTAGATCTGGATCTCTTAGATACAGTTTAGCTACAGGAGGTTCTGATAATGTTTCAAAACAACCCGAATATGTTCACTTTAAATACATTAGCTTTAACTGAAAAACAATCTTTCCTGATGAAAAATGACAAAATTCTGTCCTTGGTAGGACTTGAGTAACTCACCACCAAGGGAAAGATGCCGGATCCTCTGCGGAGGCGACAAGCTACATAGTGAAGTCGTGTCTTTTCTTTTTTTAGAGAGAGAGGAAGTGGGGGTGAGGGGGCAGAGGGGAAAAAGAGAATCGCAAGCAGACTCCACGCCCAGCACAGAGCCCCACGCGGGGCTCGATCCCACGACCCTGAGATCATGACCTGAGCCGAAACCAAGAGTCAGAAGCGCAACCGACTGAGCCACCCAGGCACCCCAAAGCAGTGTCTTTTCTCATATTCCGACGACCTGGGTTCCAAAGAAGAGAGGCATGCACATGGTCGGGCTACGAGAAATCCACGACCCAGCCCCAGGAACTGCAGACAACGGTGGCCTTCCCTCGGACACTGAAGGAGGGTAACTGCGGCCACCAAGCACAGTGCTTCATCCCTCGTGCACTCCAGAGAGCTGCGTCGCCAGGTTAAAGGCTCACAGGAATTCTGGAGGAAAGTAAAACCATTCAGCTTCCCGTAAAACCCACGTATTTTACTATGAGGTCCTTCTTGCTTCTGTGAACTTGAAAGGAAGGTGGAAACAGGCACCAGCCCTTGGCTCTGCTTCTCGTGTCCTCGTGAGGAGCAGGAGATATGTGGAGCAGAGCCCAAGCCACGTCCAAGCCCTGCGCCCCCCCACCCCCCCCGCCGCTGCATGGCCTGGAGCAGGTTCAGGGTCCCTCGTCATCGGCTAGGTGACACGTATTTTTTAGAAACTCCTGCTTTCTCCCCTGAAAAAGGTCAAAACGGTCCTCTACAACCTAGATGATGCTAAAAAATCTCCAAACTCCAACACACATAATAACCTCTTTCACGTGAGACTTGGATTTTCATGACAACATTCTTGAATGTCTAAACTGTAAAATGGGATTTAAAAACTGTTCTGTTTAAACAAGAAATGGGTTTGTATCTATGCTGGCCACACTAGTCCCACACTACCAGGGTCTCCACAGATAACCACCGAGAGTTTTTCTTCTGCAGTTTGCAATTCGCAGGATCTGTCATTTTGAGAGAAACACCTTCCCCCCCGGTTCTAAAACCTGCAGTAACTAAGAAAGCAATAACGTCCCGCCGAACCATCCACATCCACTGCGCACTCTCCAGACCCACAGACATCGAGTTCCTTGCATACGAAGCCGTAAGAGGACGAAGGAGCTGCAGGAACGCCCTCATCTCCGTCGCCCGTCCCGTCTCCAGGACCAAAGACAGCTGCTTCCGCAAGCGTGGAGCCTTGACATGGAGCCCTTCAATCCACGTGAGCTTGTGATCATCAACCTCACCGCGCGTCATGATGGCCCTCCATCCTCTTTCACTGAGACTATAACTCAAAGAAAAGGAATCCTCCTTTCGCCCACTGGCCCGGCAACTCCCTCCGGAACCACGTCACCAGGCTGCCCCAACACCCCCCCACCCGAAAGAAGAACGGGAAATCTTCTCAAAGACAGTAGCGACATGTGGCCCGCAGATCGCACACAGGAGCCCCGGGGCTCTGCACAGGGAGGCAGCCTAGCAGGAGCGCCCTCTGCTACCTCGGGAGCTGAGTTCCCTTGGCAGATGTCAAGGCAGAATGTCCTCTGCACAATTTCTAAGATGGCCATAAGAAACATCGTGGCAAATAAAAGATAACTGATAATTGATAATCTATTTTCAAATAGATAAAAGCTATTTGAAAAGCTCAATGAGCACCGTCATTGGATAAG